GAAGCATCGCTAGCGGGCGAGCCGTCGACATCCAGCACTCCAACCGGGGCGGGGCGGAGGTGGGGACGAGGCTGTTTATTTGCGAGGGATCCCTCTTACTTTGCAGCTCAGCCCCAAAGGACAGCGCGGGGCGCACCGAGCGGGAAAATGCACTTGCGTCTGCGGCTGCTTGCGTTGCGGACCGGACGTAGAGCGTCGTCTCGGCGGAGAAATAGAGGGCGTTTCCGAGATCCCCGTTTCAGTGTTTGGGTCCGCATGTAAGCTTGTGATTCGCAAAGGGATTTCCGCGCTGCACTCGGATGCCACGCAAACCTGCTAGGCATGCCGACAAGTGTAAAAAATAAGTGACGATTTGTAAATAGTGAACAAAACGACTTCATTGTGGCGCTGAGTGGCTTTGCGCTGATTGAAGATCGTCAACAGATGTTTATTAGGAAGCCATTTTATAAAATAAAAAAAGTTTGTAAATATACTGAACTTTTTTTTTCGGTGGGTGATTTTAAAATCTTGTTCCCAAAAAGGAGCCTTCATTTATTTGATGCCATGTAAATGTTCATTCCTTTGAATGCAGAGCTCTGTGTTGTGCAGAATTGTAAATGAAATACAAATGAGCGGGAAATAATAATAATGATGATAATGATAATAATGATGATAATAATGATAATGATAATAATACTGATAATGATAATGATGATGATGATAATGATAATAATAATAATGATGATAATGATAATAATGATAATGTTAATGATGATAATGATAATAATAATAATAATAATAATAATAATAATGATGATGATAATGATAATAACAATATTTATGTGTAACCCTGTCCGGATAGCGGAGGTCGCTAAGGCAGTATTGTGGCGATCTCGGACGGAAGGATCACTGGTTTCAGTTCCGCCTCTGGAAAAGGTTGAGTGTGTGTATTGTGTGTGTGTTGTCCATTCATTCTCCACTATCATCATTCTATCTTCCATCCCCCAGGACTACCAAACCTGGGGGGTAAAAATCGGATGCAGCACAATGCTGGTCCCCCCCCCCCCAAGACGAGTCACATGCACTTTTGTCGGGATAAATGATACTCAGCCTCAGTAAGTTTAGGTGCATGTCCACGTGGTCCAATTCGAAACAAAAAAACAAGTAAATTATGAAACAACAATTCGACACAGAAAAGCAATTGCGAACGTAGTTCAAAGTGAATGCCAATTATTGCATTTTAGGACAACTGAAATAAAATGTTTAACGCAAAGCTGATGAAATCCGAAAGTTCATATTACATGGTATAGTGAAGAAAAAGCAATTACAAGACAATACAGACAATAAGAATTGCAATACAGATAACTGTGAAAATATAACACGGGGTGCTTGACGTAATTCTAATAAAAAATAATACCCATGATTTCGCTTGTACGTTTTTGAACAATTTCATACGTAACCTAGGAACTCATGTAGTGTGACTGAGTGATCGACTGAGCGACTGAGTGATCTAGAATGGCGCAGGTCATTTTCGGAAAGTGAAGTAGCACTAGAGGCATCGATAGATGGCCCAAGCCCGTCGCTGCGGCAGCAATCGATAGCGGCTGTCGCTCTGCATCGCGCTCCCGGATTCCAACCGCCACTTTCCTTTCCGTTCAGACTTAGCGACGAAAAACTTGTTTGGATGCATACCTGATCGTTTTATGGTGTAGCTGCGCCAGAATTATCACACACACACACACACACACACACACATACAGAAACAATTCTGCAAATAAAGTATGTCCAGAAATTCGATGCAGTATATCAAATTTTATTATGCTTCCAATCCAGGAGAAAGCGAAGTCTTATCTGCTGAAAGGAAATATTATTCGAGATCGGCAACAAGTTTATGCTAAAGGGATAATTGAATCGTTTGTTTCAAAAACCCGTCAAACGCCAAAATATAAACCGCGCTTTAGCGACGGATTATTGTTCCAGGAGGATAGACACGTCGTTTAGTGCTTATTTATATGAAAAGTATTTATTTATCAACTCCTTTAATAAAAAAAATATTCGGATATCTGTGAAATTGGGAGACTGTTTTTCAGTTTTCTTGCAATGAAAATTTTGCGTTTGACGTGTTTCTGAAATAAACTATTTAAGGTTGTTGAAAATGAAGGTGAAGCAGAATTAGCAGGTCAAGCAGTAATTAGAAGTAGAGAAATATTATGTATTGTGAGCCAAGAAGGTAGTAGGGTGAAAGACTAGGGGATGGACAGGAAGTCGGAGAAGGTAGAGATATGTAAAGGAATGAAAAGGGGAAACGAAAGACCTCGTAGGGGAACCTGCCACAATCGCGATTTTTCCACGACAAATTCCACTCTAATATAATATTTGAACCCTGGTACTCAGAGTCGCACAGATAAGCGCTCGCCGCTGGAATGCACCGCACATTTCACGCCTGTTTTCCTCGGAAAGTAGTAGGTGGCTCTGTTTGCGGGTCCATGACTCGCCTCCCTTTCCACCACTAGCTGGGTGCCGCGTGGGTGTGCGGTGCGGCCGTTCGGGTGCAGTGCTGGTGGGGCTACACGCGTCGGACAGTCGAGCGG